CCTTTACAAAGCACACTTGCACACTCAACAAATGCAATCATCATCCTCCAAACTACAACCTTTACACAGCACACTTGCACACTCAACAAATGCAATCATCATCCTGAAACATTATAGTTCCAAGCAAATGGAAATGCATTCACCAGCCTGAAGTATAAAAGTTCCAAGCAGGGAAAAGTTCAGATTTTCAAGGAAAAATCTAGATGGATATAACCCTCTCTATCAGTTGAAGAAGACCCCTATTGAAGAGTACTCATATGGTTTCCCAAGAAAATCGGCCAGGGTCCCTCTGCTGGGAGTGCAGCAACGATACCTTTCACAGCTGTCTGCGAGACCTCGCAAATCGCAGCAATAACAGGGAAAAGTCTCAGGGCCGTGACCAAAGGAAACATGAAGCAGCAAATGCTGCTGCCATGCGATTGGCGCCCAGTGGCAGTAGCAGCGCTGCCTCCTCGGAGTGTGGGTTCAAGATAAAGCCATGGGGGTTTGGGCCAAAAGGATCCACTAGGCTTGTCTTCCACAATTGCCTGAACCGTCCTGGGGGCATCTTCGTCAAGGATTCAGCTACGCACATCAGCAGTTCCGAAAGCTCGGCCGTCTGATCTGGTCCATTTGTGGCCTGACTCAGTGCAGAAAAATCGAAACAAACAAGCGGAATAAGCAGCAACAGTGTTCGCTACTAGGGGCTCCTGGCATCGCTACTAGGAGCCAGGACGCTACTAGGGGCTCCTGGCCTTACTACTAGGAACAAGAAGCTACTAGTAACAAGAAGCTAACAGCAACCTCTCGAAACTTAGTGGGCCATGAATTCGTTTCGTCCCGACTGGTAGGATGCAGCCTTGTCGGTCTCATGTGCTGAAGCGGAATGGCCCAAAGCACTGTCCGCCGGCACGGCTGGCGCCGGGTCTCCTCCGCTCGAGCATTGTGAGTGGTAGATCCGATTCTCAATCTCGATTTACATGAAGACTAGTAGTGATGCACTTGCTTTTTGTTAGTATGTGTTGGAATGGAAGATGGCCCCGAGCATTGGAGGACTATGGAGGACTACACGGTGAATTGGCGAGGCATGGGGTGATTTAAAAAAAAAAACGATGATGCGTTGTTATTGGAGCTGGAGTTGCCGGTTGCTGGCACAAGAACCGCCCTCCAATCGAAGGATTTTAACAAATTGGAACACTCATGAACACTCCCTGTTCGAAGTATATGCAAGACGTGGTAGACGGTTGGTTCAAAATGAATTTCGTCAAAGGAAGCGCCGTCCTTTGGCCTCGGAGGGCAAGACCTCTGCCAGCCGATTTAGCAGCTCGGGCAGCTGGACTGCACTGCTTGCACCATTGGCAGGTAGCTGGGGCACCACCGCCTGGCCATAAGAATTCACGACGGCTGGTCTTCCCCTAGGAGCTTTTGAACTGGTGGCACTGCTCAGACACGGCTTGTTCGTAACCGTTCCTACCAAAGCTGCGGGTGTTGGCTGGACCGCTGCGGCCACTACCTAGTCTCCACCAACAGAGCGAAGAAATGTCCCTCCTGCTTGCCAGGCTCTTTGCTTGCGATGGCTCCTTCTGAGGCCAAACCAGACAGAAACTTGACAGACACGACTCCAATGTGCTGAAACTATTCTCTTGACGACATCTTGATTCCCGCCCCTCAACGATCAAAATAAGCATCTTTACTAAAATTTTTACCGTACACCAGTTCAATTTGGTCTCTGTCCTTGTGGCCCCAGCATGACCTGCGCCAAAAGCTGTGCCACCTGCTCTGCCTCGCCTGATGCCTCACTCTTTATATCGTCAGGCTCTAAGACCTGAACCAGCAAGTAGCGACAGGCTGAGGCTTTCGAAAACAAAGCAATCTTCTATTGAGTTAAGAGTTACTAGTAATCTAGTAGCAATGGCCTCCAACCTAAAAGCGATGGCCTCCAACCTAGCACGATCTACGTACGAACCTGCAAACGAGCAATAAATATCCCTGTAGAGTTGCCTGTGATGGACAGGTGCAAAACAATCAAATGCAATGGTTCACCGAATTCACCGGGCCTGAAGTTTGCTACCGTCCCGGGCGTTCTGTGATTCCTGTGTGGTCCCCTCTGGCACTGCAACAGGTTCTTGTGTGGGCTTCTCAGCACTGCCCATAGAACCAGCCGTAGCAGCTTCATCAATTTCGGTTCCTCCAGAATTCCCTTGCACTTCGGTACTTCTGCACCTTTCGCTAATGGAAAAGGTCATGACGCACTCGCTTTCCTCGACAAAGTTGGCTCCACCGTCAACCACTCCTTCTTTATCTTCTCCTTGGTTTGCCTGTAATTGCTCATCTGCCTGCTCCTTATTTGCTGACATCGCCGTCAGCCCTTCAGCCTGCGGAAGAAAGCGATAGGAGGAGGAGGAAATCATTCATTTTGTTTAACATGCCTACCTTGCTATGTATTGTTACTGCTGAGTGGACATGGCTTTCCAACTGACAAAGTGCAAGTCATATGCGTTGGAAGCCTGAAAGCCCAAAATTAATGAAGTCGTGGCCCAGAATCCAGAGCATCTCGCAGAACCCCATTCATCTCGTAGGTCTGGCACTTATGTTCTGTGCCCCCTTTTGCTACGAGGAGCATGTGCGTTCGGACTGAGAGTTGCCCCAACTGTCCCCCCATCAACATGGAGCCGCGTAACGCTCACAATAACACCACGGACACACATGCATACATACTCGCACACGCACACAAAGCTGCACGCTAACTTCCCGGCCATCTGGCACAAACATCCTAATTATGTAGTATAAATGTTGCGTGGAGCACCTGACGGCCTGACGGTCAAGCTGTCTACGACAGCGATAGACTTGACGTAGGTTTTTGGCACACCACCACGATGTGATGAGCTTCGCCAAGGAGCATCAACTCAAGCACACAAACCACCCACCGTTCACTACCACTCCGATACACAAGTTTCAAAGGGCCACCAGTCTTATCTTGTGAGGCCCTTTTATCTGTCCCACACAAATGGTGGGTTAGGAGCAAACACTGTTAAAGCTTCAGGCGGCCCCTGCCCCCACGTGCCTCGCTCTGTTTCTCAACCTCCTGAACCTTGGGGAAGGGCACTGTAGGTGCGCTGTATAATGCCCAAAGAGTTGTACAAGCATGGCAAGTCAGATGGGCATGCACAACAGTCGCGCTTTGATCTGTACATGTGACATCTTCAGTGCACCAAGTTGCTTGATTTCCCGCGGGTTGGCTGCGTGAAGAGTTCAGTGGGGTGCGGCTGCCCTGCGACTCGTCTTCAAGGTTGTTCATCAGCCACCTCGAGCGGTTCATCACCACATTGTGTTGTGTGTGTGTGTGTGTCGATGTACGTGGAACATCTGCACTGAAGCAAGTCATATATAGTTCCTCTTTGTTCGCCCAGGCACTGAATGGCAGCTGTCATGTGGTCTCTTTTTGGCCGCTCTGGGGGTGGCTCGATTTGCCGCAGCTCCCAAAGGTATCTCACAAGCAATTCCAACTTTTCAGGTCAGGTTCCAAGTCTTGAAAAGTTGACAATGGGCACAATGTGACACAAAGTGAATCGAATATGGCGCAAGTGCAGTGGATCCGGGCCTGGGATTGCTAAGTTTTTGCATTGCGATGCGCTTGCACTGGAAGGACCTGAATGAGAAGAATCCAACAAACATCAACAAACACCTTCTCTCCACCCCCTTCTAACCCCACGCCGAGGCAACAGCAGACCGTCACAAGAAACCACCGTTCCCGGTTGCCCTTCCCGGTGCCGTTTTCACCGCTCTCGTTTCTGGGTGTCCGTGGCATGGCGACGTGGCTTCGGGGATCCGCCGAGGTCACCTCACCAGTGGCGCCATGCCGCCAGTGCCTGGGTCCATCACCAACTCAGAGCCTTGTCCGACTCCCAGGTCTGGAGGAGAGGAGCAATGTTCGCTACGAACGTAACCAAGGGCATCGCTACGAACGGAGCAAGGACGCTACTAGTAGCTCCTGGCCTTACTAGGAGCAAGAAGTTACTAGTAACAAGTGCATCGCTTCTAGTAACAAGTGCCTTACTAGTAGTAACAAGGACGCTACTAGGGGCTCCTGGCCTTACTACTAGTAACAAGAAGTTACTAGTAACAAAGAGAGGGCCAATTCCAACTCTTAGACCGGCACCCATCAGACAACTCCCAGCGCGCAAGCTCTGCTTGCTCGTCAGAATCCTACACGAGGCGTGTCGCAACGGCATTCAAGATCCATGGCCGCAGCACTTCTGAGAATGTCATGAGCCAATCCGAAGCGCAGCACGTGCATGACTTCATGTCCGCCAAGTGGCGATTGTATCCATGTGGCTGGAAAGCATCTCCCCCTGGCAAAATCTCGCCGATGGTGAATGATGGTGCTCTTAAAAAGAATCCCAAGAAAATCTCCGGCCAACAGCTGCAAAGTGTCCGCCCATTCGGTAATGGCCAAAACGGAAGTTCACCAACAAGTGTTGTGCGACTTTACAGTGCGCCATGCGAGCATCGCAACACGGCAATAGGTCGGCATACCATACGCGCCCATTTGTGCAAGCATGACAACGAGGAACCGACCAAGAACCAAGGGAACCTGCCTCGGAACCCTCTCTGGAGCCCACAGCGAGACCCGGTGTCATCATCTTAGCGTGACAACGTGTCACCCCTTAGCGTGCATGTCAGCGTGTCAGCATGACATCAACATGACAGCCTGACAACATGTCGGCCTGTCACCATGCCAGCATACCAGCATGACAACCGCGTGTCTACACGTCCGCCTGACAGCATTATATACATATATAACACACCAACATGACATCATGCCAGCATATCAGCGTGACAACACCTCAACATGTCAGCATGACAACATGCTGGCATGTCAGCAACAGACGGCACGTGAGCATGGCAGGGTGAAAACACCCTAGAATGTCGGCATGACAGCGCACACCAAAACGGCTTGCATTGCAGCCTGACGGCACACCATGTCAGCAGCACCACATGTGCATGCTGACATGTCGGCGTTAATGCGCCATGACAGCACCAGCATAACAGCAGGTTTGCATATCATGGCATATCTACAAAATTGTCGCAAAGCCTGCTCCGGAACCTGCTTAGCGACCAGCTCTCCTAAAAATCCGCCGACCCCTTGCGACTGCAAGGGGAGCGCGTGAGAGAAGGTACGAGTGCTCAGGGTGTGGAGGGTTCCTTCAAACCCGTCAAGCCCCTCAAATTCCCCAATCCCCCAAAAGCCTCGAAACTTGCCAGAAGGGGCTTGCTCGAGGCTGCTTCAAAATGTGTTTTTTTACGGGATCCAAGAGCGACGTTAGACATCGGGGCCTGCCCTTCAAACCCCTCAAACCCCTCAA